AAAGGTTTACATTAAAAAGTGAAAAGTAGATAATTGGACCTTTCTTAGATTTCACATTCTGAATTTACTTGAGTTATGAAGAGAAATATATGTTAAAGGAGCTAGTAAAAGGTTTATGTTACAGCAGACACCTTTGAGAAGTAGGGAACACACCTGTTTATTGACAAGGGCCACATTCCAACTCATGCACATGCTCATTGCTCTCTGAAAAATAGTCTCTAACATAACTTTCTCTAAATGGAATGCAGCCCTGTGCCTTCCCCACTCTTTCAAGTCAACCTTTCCACTGAAAAAATGTTTAATCAGGTGCAAAATTATCTTAAATTTTATGCAATGAAGTTTTTCACAAGCAAATATTTTTTGGGGCATTTCTTTAAAACATTTAGTGTTGGTGACAAAGAAACACATAAAGTTACACTGATCCTTTAAAACGTAGGCATCTTTCTTTGCTTTTAGGAAATAATCCAAATAGTCAGAATTATTAGATTTAAGTCAAATTCCATAATAATCTGAGATTTTCTCACTTTCAGCAGAATGAAACATTCTTACATGCATGTTGCAAATTGTCTGAAATCATTGAGTTTAACCTGAAAACGGCACGTTGTTTGTGTGTTTTTAAATAAAAGAAAACATCTGTTTGTTACAAAATTATCCAAGAAAGCAATTTATTAACTCAGAATGATGCAGAATGAAAGAGAATTATTCATTGCTTTCCAGTACAATCCTCTGTTTCAGGAATGTCTCTCAAAACGTAAAGATAATGGGTGCAAGCTGGTTGTAGCCTTGTGTGTGTGTGTGTGTTTCGACAAACTGAGTAACGTAAGAGCCTCTTGTTTCTATTATTTTACACACTGAGGTGTTGACGCTTCAGAGTGAAAGGTTTTAATGGCTTTCAGTTATTATTCTATGTTATGACAGCTTGATTGGGCCTGCAGTCGTCTTTCATTGCTGCTTGATTTGCATGCATCTCGCCTTGCCTCCTTCCACAGCTTTGAAATGTTATGGTAATTTTCATGAAGTAGATTGCATCTCGCTGGTTGCTCCACTTGGGTCCCGTCTGTGAGAGAAAGCCCTGAGCAACTGCATAATAATCATAATGAACACATCAGAACAATGCCGGAGCTAAACATCACGTACGGCGACACGACACACCGGAGCCATCTGAATGACCGCTGTGGTTACCAAAGTAACTAATTGCAAACGCTGATGAAGCTGTGGATCTGTTTGCCCTCAGGTGCTGTGCTTCCATTATAGCTTCAGTTTGTACTAATATACCAAAACTCTGCACCTCTGTGGAGTGTAGAGCGAAATTTTCCAGTCAGGTTTGTAATTAGGTTTAGAGCCACTGGAGTTGTAAAACTAAAAAATTGAGTCAAAGGCCCTCTGGACAGCTTCTTCCTGGTGTGATGGAAACTCGTGGTTTACATTTCCCAATAAACACACCGGTTCTCCTGTCTTTGCACGCCAATATCCTTCCCCTGCTGGGATTAGATTTCAGCGCAGCCTTCAGGGATGCTATTTTAGGTTTCCTCAGCTGTGGTTTTGATTGCATGTAGTGACCTGACCAGCTGAATTAAAAGGTGAGAGGTTGAAAACAAAGAAAAATAAAGAACTAAATGCAAATTAGTAAAGCTGGATGATTGAAGCATTACTTTTATTTTGATAACTGAACATTTCCAGAAATCACGACAGGAGTCTCTCAAGGCACTTCCCAAAGTAAACGTTCTAATTGGTTCATTAAGCCAATTAGTAAAAAGTTTCCTACATAAGGAACCCAGCTGATTGCATCGAGTCGATGACTAGAGAGACCTGTTCAGCTGAAATTTGTGATTCCAACAAGAGAATAAAAACTACTCAATAGAAGTTCAGAACTAAGTTCAACAATTTTGTTGATCAAAATAAACATTTAGATATTTTTTAATTCAACTGCACTTGATGCTTGCTTTCCTCCTTTGTTTTGTTCCATTTTTCATTAGTAAAATGTTCTAACCCCATCAGACTGACCATTTTTACACAAACACCTGGTCTGAGTAGGAATTCTAGTGCAGTGTATTGTTGCATCCATTAAAAATCCAGGAAATAATATTGAACAATATAATAATTAATTAAAACTGACAGAGAAAATGAAAACAGGTTGTTTTGTTTTGAGTTTTGCGTGGTGAAGTCACAAACCTGCTTGCTTTAATCTGGTTGTAAATTAGGATTCAATGAGCGGTTTCCAATCAGGGCGCCATAATGAGGTTTTCCAAAGAGACTGCTGTCCTGTTGCTTACAGAAGTAGCTAACCTGTGGCTTTTTCTCTCGCCAATCTCACTCCAGAGTTATGAGCGAACAAGTGCTGCTCTAAAAGGAATGATTACTCTGATTTGGACAGCATCTTGAAGTCCAATTCACAACTGCCCTCGAATTAGACCTGTGGGGTGCTGATAACAACTCAGTTATGCATTCACAGTCCACAGCAAAGTGCTAAAAACCTGGCTCATAATGCTAGTAGTGATGTTTGCTGCACACATCCAGAATGTGATGCCATCATTTATTTTAGTGTGCGCTTCTTTGAATGAAGGCATTCAAATAATCTGAATTATTCAGATTCCCTCCAGCTCCGGATGCATCTGCACACCTACTGCTGGCACTGTTTATGTTCATACTTTACCTCTGGTGCAGGTTGTCACATTTCTGTTTGTTTGTTTTTCTTCAGGCTTGTTTGTATATATTTTTTCTCCAACTACAACATTGTGGTGCATATGTGTGTTTGTGCCTGACAGTGTAGCTGCCATCTGGTCAGCCCAGAGGGAGTCCAGCAGCTACTGGGTCATGACAGGTAGACTGTCTGTCATCTCCAACTCATCTCCATCCCAACAAACGGCAAATAATGAGACAGGGAGACAGCTGGCCGATGGATCCTGGGAGCCCACCCCCCCACCCCCCTTCCCTCACCTCACACACACACACACACACACACACACACACACACACACACACACACACACACACACACACACACACACACACACACACACACACACACACACACACACACACACACACACACCCTCAGAAGAACTGTCAGAAGCACTGACTGAGCTTTACAGCAAGGTAAGCACTTCTGTGAAAGTGGTTGCTACTTTGCCCATAAAGCAGGGGCTTCTGTGCATCATGCAGAACCACGTATCACTTCACATAATCACATCTTTAAAGAGCAATTCACCCCCTACCAGATTCTTACTCAACTCCCACTTCCTGTTTGAAAAATGCAACAAATGCTGTTGCCTAGCAGACCGAGAGGGTGGAGCCGCTGACAAATACACACACTCACGACATTGTGACATCATAATGTACCATCTAACATCATAGTGTACCTCTTAGCCAATAGCGACGGCAAATTTAAATTCAAATGCAGTGCTGAGTTTTTACCTGACGACGGTGCAACACTGACAGTTTTTGGCAGAATATTTAAATTTTAACTAAGATGCACTAAAGTTCCGAATTATTGACTACACGTGTCTGCAGCACGATCAGACACTCATTTATATAGTTTACCAGCAAAAAAATGTTGATTTGGAGTGATTTGCTCTTTTAGGTTCAAGTGAAACATAACTCTAGTTTTGTATCCTACTTCCTATTTTCTGCCCATTCACATCCAGTCTCATTCAGCTCATAGCATCCCCCAACTGTTCCCCTCATTCATTAAATACAACCCCAGGTTTCGGTTGCTCTTTCTCAGCTCGTCATCCTTCTCTTGCTGTGTTCCGATCACATCAAGTTTCTTTTTTGTTTCAGCCCAAGAAACAAAATCCATTATTTATGTAGTGCACCTGCCTCTGGAGCTGTGACTGCATTTAGTTCCTCACCATAGTCTTTTCTCTCCACAAGTTAAAGAATTTTATTTATTGCAGCAAAGTATTGTAGCTAGTTTACATGGAATAATATTGCTGCTGCAAAGAAAACTACCACAAACACGGTTTAAGGTGGACACCACTACACAAAAACGATGGGTAATATGGAAAATAAAAGAAAGTAAGAAATTACATGTGAGATCAGATTAAAGGATTGAGGGAACAGATTGGAGGAAATAGCAAAAAATATATGACATTTTTGAGAGAGATGTAAAAAAATCTGTTTGTTTTTGTAACCTGCATCCCCTGCTTTTTGTTCTTGTTATTTATTTTTTTTGTTTTGTTTTTTCCTATTATTGTTTAAAAAAGAAAGGAAAAGCCTGATAGTATCTAGATGAAGGGATGTCCATTGCACGGCCCAGGGGCCATTTGTGGTCCTCAGGCTGATATTCTGGGGCTCCAACTTGCATCTTTAGATTTATAAATGTCATCTAGTGAGCTTTTTATGTAGATGAACAATTTCTAATCGTTTTTTCTTCATATTTTGACTTCTGTGGATATCTTAGTTCTATTTTGAGGAGCAGAAAAAAAGTTATTAAATAAAACCTCATGTTAGTGGGCAATGGGGATTATGAACGGTGGTGATTTTGGTTCTCGGTTTCAAAAGTTTGGACACCAAACCATCTGTAGTGCCTAAGCGCTGCCTACAGATGGAAGTATTTCACTGGACGCTGGTACAAGCTGCAACATGCATTCATTTGGTATTTTGTAAACATAAAAAGCAGTGATTTTGTTTAAAATGCGCTTCTGGTTTCACTACACTTACGTCCTTTAAGGATTAGACTTTTCATTTCTTGTCAAGCATCAAATCAGTCATTGGAAAAAAAAATTGCTCAGGGGAATTTTTTTGGCGTATAGTTAAAATATGTGAATGCATGTTTAACGGCAGCTCGAGCAATTTGACTCAAGTCACCATCTGATGTGACAAATAATAAACTCTTACTTTGATCATTTTATCACTTCGAAACTCTTAAATACAAGGCTTAGGTCATTTATGTTAGTGAAATTTAATATCGATGGCTATTACATTTACAGAGACTTTAGTTCTGCTGTGTGCGTAAAATAAACGCCCCGAGTTGTGCCACGGGATGACGCGTCGGAGGTTGGGTCTAAAAGCGCACACCGTACGTGAGGTGCAAGTGAACTGATGGGTGACTCCGTGTAGCACCGGAGACAGAGCCAGAGGTTCAGCGGAAGTCAATTACAGAAGATGATCAGTCCCTGAGCGCGGAAGGAGAGGAGGAGGGGGAGTGACTCGATACCGACTCCTGCTCCTGACCGACAGGGAGATGCTCGCTGCTTTCCGGATGGTCCAAGCTGCGCGTCGCGCCAGGGTAGAAAACATCCATCCAGCTGTCTCTGATCTCCACCCGAACGCTCCCGCAGCAAAACCCGCGCTCCTCATGAATGGATCTCCTGCTGTGCCAAGGTGAGTAGTCTACCTTTCATTTCTCTCTGCACTTTGCAAACGGCGAAAGTTGAATCGACTTGATGCACCCCTGATGCTGGGAGATGAGAAAAGACTGAGCATGCAGGAGCCAAGGAGGAGGGGGGGAACAGAATATCTGCTGACCAGCAGTGACAAGCTGCAGCAGATGTGAGCTGCTGCTCTGAAATCAGAGTAAATGCTTAAGCTTGAAACAAATTCAGACAAGAGGCAGATCAGATCTGACTCACAAGAGTTCATTCACTCCAGACAAAGACTGCAACAGCCTGCTTGTGAGGATCTTTTCCTGAGCTTGTGTATCAGATCGGATCGCTTGGCCAAAATAAAAATAGCATGAAATAGGGGGTATTTAGGTTTGGAGAAAAATTCAACCATCACTGTTGCCTTGCTTCCCCGTACAGCCTCGACAGCCGGGGCAGAGTGCAAGCCACTGGGATGCTGATGAGGCTGAGCAGGAGCTGAGATGAAGCTTGAGTCAGAGAGCGCACAGAGCTGTAATCAGTGCCAGCCTCAACAATGCTGTTGACCAAGTGCATCTTTGCCCAAGGCCTGGCAAGTGTGTGTGTGTGTGTGTGTGTGTGTGGTTGGATGAGAAGGAGTGTGAGTTGGATTCACAGCTGTTTGACTCTCACCCCTCATGCAAGCCAGATGAGCCCCTCTTCTCTGTGTACTCTTTCTGGTCTGGCTTATCTGGCCAGCCAGTTGGACGAGCTTTTATTCTCCTGGTCCCTCCAGACTGGGTAGACTGTGTGTGTGTGTGTGTGTGTGTGTGTGTGTGTGTGTGTGTGTGTGTGTGTGCGCGCGCGTGAGAGAGAGAGAGAGAGAGAGACAGACATAGAGAGAGAGAGAGAGAGAGAGAGAGAGAGAGAGAGAGAGAGAGAGAGAGAGAGAGAGAGAGATGTACTCTTCTCATTCCTGTCATGTGCTTCTGCATTTTATCAGCTGTCTGCTAATTTTAGGATTTAAACAAATCTCCACATTCTCTCTGTTTCTGTCTCTGCTGCACTGATAACCAAAAATTTAACTAAGGTTAAGCCTGTGATGAATTCTGAAAAGCATCACTTCAGTCATAAAGAGCAACGCCTTAGTTTGGACATATTTTGAGAATCATGACCAATATAATAATAACTTCCTTTTTTTTTCTGGGATGCACAAAGATTTAAGTTTTTTAAATTTTACTTAGAAAAGTCTCACAAAACTGAAATGAAGGGAAGAAATAATTTCTAGGAGAAGCTGGTTTTCAGGTTGTCACAAGACATTTTTTACTCATTTTTTTTAAAAGCGATTGGTCTTTCAGAGGCAGATTGTTCAATAACGATCAGCCTTTGGACATTTTACGTGCAAAATGCATAACGTACAAAAATTCCGGTTATTTCACACTAAAAAAGCCAAACTGCCCATCGATCTTTCCAGGAGTGGTTTAACTTTTCAATCCTCAGCCAAGCTTACTATAGCACTTTGTAGAGTCGAAGGAATGCAGGTGAAAGTGCATTATTGTTGAGTGTTGTCCCCCCTGGGGGGGTCTGCTGGACCAGTGGAGGTGAAGTAATTTAGAACATCTGTCTCTGTCACTTTCACCCACAAGCGAAGGAGTTAAGTGTTATCTTAGACCTCTGCAGAGATTAATGACCTACTGTAAGTTTGAGGGGATCGAAGAAAACGAAAAAAAAAAAAAAATGCTGGGGAACAAAAGACTTCTTAACTGCAAAGCAAAAAGAAAAACTGCTTTTGATTTCAATTTGAATCCGTCTCATTGATTATGAGGTCATTTAAGTACCGTAATTTCCGGACTATGGAACGGACCTCACTGTAAGCCCCACCTGCTAAGTTCTTTAAAAAAACATGGAACTGTACTTGTATAAGCCGCACCGGGCTAAAAGCCGCAGAAATCTACTGATTTGAAAATGTAGTTTAACTGAACGTAACTGAACTGATCAGTATCAAACAAAACAGAAAAGTTATTGATTAGTTTATTCATCGTCCTCCTGCGCACTGAAACCACTGAAGTCATCTTCTTCAGTGTTGGAGTTGAACAGCCTCAGAAGAGTTTCATCACATACCTTTTCTGTGGCGATGTCAGTGTCGCTGTCCGTGTTGCTGTCATCATGCCGGGGTGAAGCTGGGAAAACAAGCAGCGCCGTTTTACTGTGAAAAAAATCCTCCTGGGCGCTTTCCGTAGCACTCCTTTAACCATTCCTTCATTAGACTTTCCAGCATCCATCCTTTCTGGTTGACTAAAGCCACACCTCATTATAAGCCGCATGGTTCAAAGCGTGGGAAAAAGTAGCGGCTTATAGTCCAGAAAATACGGTATCTGGGAATGCAGATGTGGGTCAGGGGCAAATGTGGAGCAGCATCTGCAACAGTACATCAGACAAATTAGTGTGTGTAACACAATTACGTGGTGTGAGTGCACAGAAACCTGCTTTTAGCACCCATAGATGGAGAGCCCCCTCCCTCAAAGCCTCACCGTTTCCACCCTTCGCTTCCCCGGTTGCCCCTGGAAACGCTGATTGAACACGACTGTTCAGACACCACAGCCTGAGGAAGGAAACAATGTGGAGGCCCCAGTGTGTGTGTGTGTGTGTTTGCACCTGATGTGACTTTGCATACAAGTGTGTACATTGGAGAGAAAAGAGAAAAGTGACAGAAGTAGAGAGAAGAGAGATAACAAAAAGATCCAGCTGTCACTGATGGCAGATGGGAAGAGACAAATGTAGAGAACAAAAATACTGCAGATCATTAGGTGCAGCTAAACTGGCTGCTGCCCTCACTCTTTTCTCTTCTCCATCCCCCTTTTAATCTTCACACTTCTGCTTATTTCAATGCACTATTTGTGCCTGAAGGGAGTTTTAATGGTCAGATGGAGAAAAGAAGCTTGCATGTAGAGAAGAGCGAGAGGTGGAAACGTGTAGAGGGAGAGAAGAAGAATTTTAAAGACTGGAAACTAAACAGTAGAGAAGAGGAGTAAGGAGGAGGAGTCGTGCAAGTGGAAAGTGGAAACTCACCTGCCAGATGGCGGCTTTGGCAGCACTCGGCATGCATTGATGTCGTTCTTGCAATATGGTGCACCTCCTCCAGATTGCACTCTGTTGTCGATACAAACAGCAATAACTTTGCTGATGTGTGAGTTTTGCATAATTTTCTTTGGCACTGATTTAAGCCGACCGCATATGGTTCTTGGAAAAGCTGACAAAGTTGAAGGATGTCATGTTTGTTTTTTCTCGCTGAAAAATTTTGATGCAGAACTTAAAAATTAGGAATGTGATAAATCTTTGAAAGATGGAAACCTGTTTGATTTGTGTATAACTTTTATTTTTTGTCATGTTTTAATTATGTCTTTTACATCACTGTTTGCATAAGTACTACAAAAATCAAGACTTATAGCTTCTTCTGCACTTCTACATTAAAGGTGCATTTAGTGAGAATGACATCTTGTGGTCAAACTTGCAGTCTATGTACCAGAACAAACGAGTCCGCTCCGAGCAGCTGTTGCCAGTTAAGGATCAGCACCAAAAGGTTCTAGATAAGTCATACACAGGAAGTTGATGAATAGATAAATACATCTCACTGTCACGTCAAAGTGTTGGTAATTGCAAATAAGTAACTTGAGACATTTTTAGAGCCGCCAGTTTTTTTTTTATTTCAACGTTAGCTTAATGTTAGCTTAATATTAGCTTCTAGACATCTTTACCCGATATTAGAGTACAACAAAAGTGCTGTGGCTTTTTAGGGGTACGAGAAATGACTTTTAGGTCCACAATCCTGCAGCTTTTTGCTAGCCAATGTAGAATTACAAGCGCCAGCACAGACTTGGCAGCCCAGCAGGCTCACGTATGATTGGCTCTGGAACCAGGAAGTATAGAGGTGGGACTGGTTGTAAACAGTGACATCTCCTATTTGGCCTTTTTTAAAGAAATAAAACTGACAACCCCCCAGCTGAGTTGAGAAGGACTTCTATTTGAATGTAACCTTCCTTCCAACATGTATTAAGCCAGACTGTTTTCAATGCAGAATTCATACTTATTGGACCTTTAAACATGATAGATAACTCTGATTACTCCTTTAACAAGTAGTTCACATCAGATTTGGTGTCTTCAAATCAAGTTTTCGTTTCAGTACAAATCAGGATGTGAGAAAAACAGTTTAAAATTAAAGCAATGTTAATGTTAAAAACATAACACTTCACGGTCATGGTAATGTGGAAAAAAATCCCATTAAAATATAGGAGTTAATGTGATTTCCATTTTCTTTATTTTAACACAAAAAGTCCAAATTAAATAAGCTTTGAAACACCACATGCTTTACAAGTTCTGACTGAAGTGTGACTGGCTGATTATCTACAGCCCATCATTAACACCAAAAGACTAAAGACGTGATTATGACACTTCTAGTACTTGGCAATATTTTTAAGATGCTTGTAAATTAATGTAGTCTTGGAAGATTTATTTTTTATGTATTTGAAGAAATTTTCTCGAGATTTCAAAGGTAGGGATTTATGTAACCTTATTATTTCATCCTAATTAAAAATAAACAAACTAAATTCTTGCAAATGTTGTTTATAAAAGGTTTTGTTTGTAAAGAAATCAAAACATGAAAGAATATTTTCACACCTCAATGAACATGCAGATTCTCAGGTTGAGAGAGCGTGTTCTGAAGTTCTGGATTTGTAACATTGTGCATTTGGAAAAGCTGCAGCATTACAGGAAATTTGTTCTTCTTCTTTTGTATCTTAAGACTGAGTAATTACCACCCTGCTTGTGCTTGTTTAGGAAAAGAAGGGAGCAGTTTCCAGAAAAATGCCCATGTGATCACCCAGTGGGAACATCTGCAAAATTGTTCTCATTAGATTACATATCGCACCAAACTGGACTTCTGAGGCCGCGGCATGAGCCGACGCTGGCAGCTGCAAATCAGACAGGATTTGGCTTAACGGACTCTGGGAATTCTATGTTAATTTAGAAACAAGCTGTATTAAGAAGGACAGGTTGCAATGAAGGGAACTAATGCTGTTTTAGAAATATTTTGTTGTATTGAGATTTAGTGTAACAAAGGAGCGTCCTTTGCAGGGAGCTCCTATTTGAAAAATCCACCAATGTTGCATTTCAACTATTTCTGTGGGTTTTCTTTGACATGAATGGGCAACTAGCTGGGGAAACAGAATGGTTTCTGATGGAGTTAAAATTAGAAACAAAGCAGGCAGAACAGACCACGGAGATGAGTCAAGATAATTCACGTTCTGGTTAATTTTCTTATCCAAAAGCATGTCACAGAACAAAATGTGTCACACGGGAAAGCCTTAGACATAAAAAAATAACCAAAGCTATTAATAAACACCTACAAACATAGTGTAACAAATTAAAGAGGACAGCTTAAGGGTCAGAGTTCGTGAACCTCACAGTCTCAGGGAGGAAACTGCTCCTTCATATTCTAATGAGGGTCTTCAGGCTGCTCAGCCTTATGTTTGAAGGGCAGAGGGTGAACAAGTCATGTGCTTTGCTCTGGTTCTGACTTTGCTGTTAATGTCCTCTGCAGGGAGGCCACTCCTGGTCGTTT